CCCCTGGGATTTATAAGAGGAAGAATGTTTATGAGCTATTTGAGGGAAGTTTCCAGAGAGTTCTGTGGAAATAGGTCAGACCCCAGGGGATTAGGAGGGACCTGCAGTGAGGAAGTGAAGGTATTTTGAGAGGATGGCCATTTTCCTAGTGGTGCTATGTTGTCCCTCTGACCTTATTAATATAAACTAGTGACACTTTGAACACTTTGTCACATAGCATTTAGACTTGGCATCAATGGGGGTGAAAAACAACTGCTCAGAAGCTAGTGAACAAATAACTTGTCAGGATAAACCTAAATTAGTCCCTAGAGGAAGCAGGGGGAAAGTTCACTATTCTCAGGCAGATGGCTGCTATATATTTTTATATTCTTTTGCACAACTCCAAGATGAGATCATGAGATTTTACCTGTTATTTAAGGCAATGTCCCTCACCACCACATATTCAAGCTTTTGGTTGTTATTAGTACACCAGCTCTTCCTATCCATGTGTTCCATACCTGTGGATGCAACCAAGTTTGGATAGAAATATTTGGAAAAGAACTGCAGCTATACCAAACATGGACAGATTTTTTTTTCTTGTCATTAATCCCCAGACAATGCATTGACATAGCATTATATTATGTTACTATTATTAGCAATCTAGAGATTATTGAAAATATATAGGAGGATGAGGGTAAGATATATGCAAATGCTATGCCATTTCATATGAGGAACTTAAGCATCTTGGAATTTTTGTATTTGCAGGGGTAGGGATGTTCTGAAACCAATCTCTCACAAATATGGGAGGATGACTGTCTTCCACAAAAATGCCAGCCTGAACTACTAAGTACACTTAAAGGTCCCATAATCATACCTTGTTATAATGCTGTTGATGGGGGCAAAAATAACGGTCAGTTAATGGTGGAACATGTTATAGCATCTAAGGTTAACTCAGGAACTCCAAAGTTAAATAGATCTCTGGTTTCTAATCCATGTTGTGCCACCAAGCTGTCAACCTTTCTCAATTTTAGTGTTATCATCTGTAAAAGGAGGCTAATGACATGTACCTCATAGAAGAGCTGCATAAGATGATCCTGTAAAGCAGGTATTTGCACATTTCCAGTCAATGGCAATGGTCAATAGTCACCTTGATAATAATAAATAATCACTTTTGCAATATAAGAAAGTGTGTATCATAGTGGGTATGGATCTGTGGTAGAGAGGAATTCTGACAAAGAGTATCACAATATTTTCAAAGCCAGTCATCCTTGAACAGGAAAAGCCAAAATTCTATTTACCTAAGAACCAAACTGCTCCCAGAGGCAACAGATTTTAGCTTTTTCATTAAACATTAGAACAGAGCTGGGTGTGGTGGTGCATGCCTATAATGCCAGTGGCTCAGGAGGCTGAGGCAGGAGGATGACAAGTTCAAAGCCAGCCTCAGCAACTCTTCGAGGCCCTAAGAAATTCAGCAAGACCCTGTTTCTGTATAAAATATTAGTGGCTCAGTAGTTAAGTACCCCTGGGTTTAATCCCTGGTACAAAAACAAAAAAACTAGAACAGAAAGGAGATAAAAATTTATCTTGCTACTAGAGACTGACTCCTGCTTCATTGTTTTATTTTTCCCATTATTCCTGTGAACCCAAGTCTGTTTGGAAACAGCAGCAACAGGGAGTTCACTAAAAAACAAACTCTCTGCTTATGAAGATGCTATTCCCTGGAGACTAACTCAAGCTTTGAAATATAATCTCCATTTCCAGCTTTAGGAACTTTTTCTTCTAAGTCCCCTTCTTCAAAAGTAGCTATTGTTTAAAAAAAAAAGTAGCTATTGTCTCACTAAAGAGCTATTGCAAGACAACCTGACAAATCAGTGTAAAAAGAAAATTTTAAGCACAAATGAAATAGGCAAGTAGAGGTCATAATTTCTTCCACTAGAGGGCAACATTTGCTAAAAATAAACATTAGCTATAGTCTCTCAGTCTCCTGAGGAGACTGGAAAACACACAGGTTTCTGGGCTGTGTTCCCTGGAAATTCCGAATCAGTAAAGAAAATGTATTGAAAATCCGCTTTTTTTTTTTTTAAGCTCTTCAATTTTGGGAACCACTGCTTTAAAGAGAAGTGTAAATAAGATCTTGCTATCTCCCTTTCTCCTGCCTCCCAGCATTGAGATCCTGCTATAATCCTTGCTGAAGCTAATGCATATATACATATATATTTCTTACCTTGGTGACAAAAGAGGGTTTATTTTATACTAAGACCATGACCTTGGCCTTAATTACTGGATATTATTTAAATCCTGAAAGGTTATTTAGTGTCCATTTTCAGTGTTTTTGTTTGTTTTTGGAGTGAGGTCTGAACTCACTCCAAAGGTGAGGCATTCTGCCACTGAGCTACATACCCAGCTCTTTTAAATTTTTTTTTTTTTTGTACTGGGGATTGAACTTAGGGGCACTTGACTGATGGGCCACATCCCTGCCCTATTTTGTATTTTATTTAGAGAAAGGGTCCCACTCAGTTGCTTAGTGCCTTTGCTAAGGTTGGCTTTGAATTCCCAATCTTCCTGTCTCAGCCTCTGGAGTTGCTGGGATTGGAGGTGTGTGCCACCATTCCCAGTCCCTTTTTAAAATTTTGAGACAGGGTCTTGCTAAGTTGCTGAGACTAGCCTCAAACTTGGAATCCTCCTCCCTCAACTTCCCAAGTAGCTGGGATTACTGATGTTCGCCACCACATCCAGCTCTGGTTTTGGGTCTTTTATAGGGGAAGGTACACTTCACAGGCATCTACAAAATATTTTCATTTCTGTTTTTATCAGTCATGCCAGCTTTTGTCTTGTCATAAGTAAAAAGCTGTCAAAAGCAGTATTTGACTGAAAAGAAAGATTATGGGCAACACCACCATAAATAAAACCAGTGCTTATCAGTCTAAACTGTCAATCAACGGAAGAAGTTCATGAAGCATGTGGCCTGGGTAAGCCTAAAAACCATCTTGTGGTGTGGTGCATAAGCAATTTTGAGAACCTGTAACAGTGCAATTAAGGCCTGGGAATTTGATTCAACTAAACACAGGACAAATACTCCTACCTGGCCCAGGTTTCTTGGATGATTTTTGTTTGTTTCCAGGATCTTTAAAACTGATTTATGAGTCAGATTGAGGTCAGCATACTCCTTTGTGTTTCATCTGCAGCATTTACAGGGTCATAGTGACATTTTGAATTGTCAAAGGTCTGCCAGGGTTTCAGCACAGCAAGTTCTCCTCCCAGACTTACTCTACTGTTTGAGAAAATACACCGAAGAAGGGATGTGAAAGCCAAGCTTTTCAGTTAAGCAGCTTCTTCTTCTTCTTCTTCTTCTTCTTCTTCTTCTTCTTCTTCTTCTTCTTCTTCTTCTTCTTCTTCTTCTTTTTTAACTCAAGCACATGTCTAATAGATCTTGTTATCACTTTGTGATCTGTCCAGGTAGTCATGAAAGAGCTCCTCCCTGGCTACCTGCCTACAGGAATGCTGAGGCTGTTTTGCCAACTTCTCTCTGCGCATCTCAAACCTCTCTGTTTGCATGTAGACATGTCAGTGACACTTCTCAAAATGTCTCTCCTGCTTTCACAGTTGCTAAATTTGTCTCTTAAACTGATGTGTTGCTTTCTCCAGCCGGGATAGGATTAGTCTATTAGCTGTGATTCAAGTTAGGGGTTGGGAATGGGGAAATTTTACAGGATTTGGGCTTCCTGTGAGCATTTCTGTTATAGTTGGGTAGGTTGACCCAAAATGCACACAGACCAGCCACTTGGCCATGCCTCTGCTACTCCTTTGCAATTTTTTTCTAACATTGCTTACTTCCCCGCTCCTTCTAAATCTGAAATATCTTAAGTCTGTCATCTGAGCAAGTTAGGAAAAATAAAAAAATTGTACCTCTTCTTGCTTTCCTAAGATTTGTACTTCAAATCTTATTACAAGTAATATGTCCTTCTCAGTGGAAGGCAGTTTGGGACCTAGTGACCAAGCAGCTGCTGGGCGCTTTAATTCTGATTAATAGCCCACAACCCTCAACTAGACTGGTAGGAGTCCTCAACCCACACACTCCCTGCAATGAGCTGTGACACAAATCATCTCAAGCTTCATGAGGTCAAGCTTCACAGGTTACGTATACAAACGTCCCATTAACAAACACACAAGACTCAAGTATCCCAAATAGTTTTCTTCCTATAATTTTTAGGGAATGACTTGGCCATGGTTCATTCCAAAGGGAACTGATGGCTGCTGGACTCAATTTGAGGGGAATTCCTGAGGGTAAAGAAAGGGAAGAAAGAAAGAAAGCCCCAATAAATGGGCCTTTTTCGGCTGGACGGGGCACAGCAGGAGGGCCTCTGCAGTGAACTGTGGGACTGTAGGTAGGGCAGAAGCGGTGCTTGCTGGAATCCTCTGCCAGCAATTCTTCCACAACAGCGGGAAAACCAAGAGTAGGCTTCTGGGTACACTGGGCGGCCGGTGTCCCGGGCTTTCCCCTGATTAGATCTGACGCCGCGGGTCCCTAGGCAGGGTTAGCGGGGTCGCCTGGAGGACAGGGCGTTGTCGGGTTCTCCAGCCTTCAGACAAGCTTCTCGCCTCAACAGCCCGCCCTCCTAACGCTGGATGCCTTCTCATCAGCAGCGGTGGCCCAAAGGACCAGAGCCCTCCAGAATCTCGCTCCGCCCTCAGCCCCGCCTTTCGGTTTAGCCACGCCCAGACCCCGCCCCACCCTACATTCGACCCGCCCCTCTCTCCTAGCACTCCATGGCCACGCCCAGACCCCACCCCCACACCACCTTGCACTCCATGGCCACGCCCAGACCCGCCCCTCCAACTTGACCCCACCCCACACCATCCTCACACTCCAGGGCCACGCCCAGACCCCGCCCCCTCCACCCTGACCAGGCTCCCA